AAGGAAAGTTTCTCTTCTTGGGGTGGGGGTTAGGTTTAGGACTAAGGTGTGAATTGAGTTTAGGTTAGGTTTAGGGATAGGTATGTGTCGGTAATGGTTAGGCGTTAGACACTCTCTCGATGACCCCCCCCACCCAGTCCGACGACTAGAGCAGTTGCACGGGCCGACGCACGTTCGTTGGTATCTCTCAGATACCAAACCAGTTTGTAGAACTTGGAGAACTAGGGTCAGCTTTTAGAGTAATGTTAGGTTTAGGAATGGATTCCACTAATATTAGGGTCAGTAGCCAATTGGTTTGGTAAGGTGATATGTGCTATAAGTGTAGTATAAGGGTGGAGGGCAAGGGTCACGGTTAGGCCATATAAATTAGTGGCATGTGCATGTGTGGATCACATGTTTATTTGTGAAAATTGAGACGAATCTAGATCCATAGGTAAGCCGCTCATTCACTGTTGAAAAGCTGCATGCATCGAAATTTCGTTTTGGATGCACTGACCATAAAGTCTAAGTCTTTAGCGTTTATTTGTTTCCAAAGAGGCAGACGGCCGTTGCCTTCTCTCATATTTGTCTTTTGCCTGTTTGGTTCATGGACGTCCTTCATGCATATTTTGTCCTTTCACTGACTCTGATATTAGGATGGAATAAAAACAGTTCTTCAGATTTGAAGAAGCTCTTTAGGCAGGAAGTCCAGTGAAAGCTTAAGAAACTCTACTCTCTCCTTTATTGCCACTTTTTTGTCCCTTTCAACCCTTCAAATCCCGGTAAGCTGAAGTCTATTCAGACTCGGCTCTGCAGCTTTCTGTGAGCTCAGAGAAAGTGGTAATTTTCCATCGCCGACGCAGAGCTGTAAAGCTGTAAATGTTGCTTTTTTTTCCACTCAACACAAGCATTACAGCAGCAGTTAGTCTACAGACTAATTGTTCAGCGTACCCTTGAGTGCTTCCATGCTGAAAAGACTAAAACACAATGTAGCCTGAGGTGACGTACTGCATGTCAGGCTTGAAAGTTTGACATTCGGTCGAGGGTGAAACAATGTCAAAGAAGAAAAACTGAAAAAACAGGAGCTTTCAGCAGCTTTTGGTTGAATGAATATAAAATCGAGGTGATGATTCTGCTTCAAAGCTTCACTCTAATGGATATAATAGTGGGAACTGGTGCAAAAACTCACAGCAAAGTAAGAGTTGATGGAATGATTAATGAAGTGATAAAATAAAGGACTCTTTTATAGAATAATTGATCAAATAAATTCAAGATTTGATCAAATATCCTGCAGTTTTCTGACAATAAATCATCTCCTTGCAGATTGATTCCTGTGTTTTTGTATTTATCTGCAGTGTTTAATTATTCAGAGACTATTTAACGGCTTCGTCTGGAATCATGGAAGATGCAGCCGCCTGGATCCACCTGGACGGCGAGATGAAGGCGCCTGGTTGTACCTTGGTGAACCAGAGGAAGTCCTGCATGAGGGAGCTGCTGTAGGAGTCGTCCACCTCCACGATGGGAATCTGCTCCTCGGCGGTGACCAGTAAACTGTCCTTATGGTAGAAGACAGCAGCCAGGTAGATCCCTCTGCAAACAGCACAGATGGGGGTTCAGCCTCCCACCGCTGACAGCTGCAGGTTTCACACCTACCAGGCTGTGAAGCAAACCTTTTCAGTGTCTTTACAAACTTGTTGGAGGAGTTGAAGAGATGTTTGAGGCTTCTAGAGACTGACTGCTTCCTGCTCGGGTTCTGCAGTTTCGATGAGTCTACGGAGGAAAGAGCAAGAAGGAGGTTAGAACAGAACGGACCCTGATGCCCAGACCAGCTGCTGAAGGGATTCAGATTCAGGGTCAGCAGGTTCAGATCACTCTCCCACATTCCAATGATCTCCTCCATTCCTCCTCCTATCTCTGCCCCCCCCCCACGTCTGTCCCCGGCTGCTGGGCGATGCCAATCTCCAGACCGTAGCGGCCTTTTAGTCCGGCTAATTACACGCCATGAAACTGGCGAGCTGTAAACAATCCAGAAGTGGCTGCAGCCGTGCCGCTTGTCGGGAGCCGGTCCTGCTGCAGACGACCGGCTCTCCTTTAACTTATGTTAAAATGACCCACATCAGGGAAAAGTTTATTTATTTCCCTTTATGAAGAATCATCCTAAAGAAGATGAACACAGAAAGAGCAAAGAAAACAAACGAATGAACCTAAAAGCATCTGAGTTCGTTCGTCCTTTAAATCACGAGACAAACATAATTGAAGCATCTATGCAAAAATTCTACTTTTTTATTTAAACATTTAAAGAGCAAAAACGTCTAAAAAAACCCCCACTGGGTTTAACTACTGGAAGCTACGGATAATTTCCATCTTAATTTCCAAAAAATGCAACTTTTAAATTCCCTAAAGATGACTGAAAACGTTACATAAAGCTAAACAGGAACTTATAAAAGTAACTATAAGTTAGATTAAATAACTGATAGCTTAAAGGTATAGTGGAATGTAACAGGGAACCTTTGTTAAGTTTATATTGGCTGAAATAACAGCAGCATGTAGTTTTGTAAATTGGTTTATTTTGGGTGCAGTGGGGTTTTTTGGGGGCGTGGCTCTTTTAGTCGGCCACATCTTGTCTTCATTTTTTCTAGAAAGGTAAAATTATTTCACTCTTCCTATAAAAGAAACGCATGAATTAAAGTAGTGATGTCATGAGATGAGCCGAGGCTTCGAGGCGTGTGTCGGGTAATGGAGGGGGCGTTTCCCCAAAGTGCGTGTCGAGGCGGGATTTATTTTGGGGAGGGGCCAAAATTGATGACGTCTGAAGCCGTCACCAATTTCAATACCGTGATACGATGTGATCGCTTCAGGAAGTGGTTCAGAAAGCTCCAGAACTTCAGCAGGAATCTAAACAGCTTCAGTGTTCAGCCAAGATGGAGGAGAGCTGCTGTCAGTCGGATAGTTTGGATAGATTCTAAGAATAGATTGGTCGGAAAAACATCCAATCTAGTTGGTTAAAACTAGTTTAGTTGGATCAAACAATGTAATGATTGAAATCCGAGCAGGTTGCTGGATACGGCTTTAACTTTAGTGTCTGTTCAACAGTTATCCATGTTGGTGGCCTCAGCTGTAAGACATTGACGTTCACTCCTGAGGTCGATGGTTCAGGACCCGCTGTAGACTTTTGAAAGTTTCATTATACTTTAGTATTTTTGGTTAATGTGACAAATTTGTATTGGTTTAGTAAAAGTATAGGTTGGGGTAAAAACGCTGCGAAATTAGATTGGCTGATTTAGCCAAAAGATTGGTTGAACACATAACTTCTAACCCAATTAAAACCAAAAACCGTGGAAAAACGATTAATTTTAATAAAACGACAAACACCTTTCTTTCACTGACTGCTTGAGCTTATTTCACAAACAGTGTATCTAAAATCATTGTTCTCTACTAAGACATTTTGTACATTTTGTGTATTATACACACTAAATCATTAACAATTTCAAAGGAACTTAAAATTCAGTGTTAATTTCATTGACGAAGACTATGACGAAAAATACTTGTCAACGAACCTTTTTCACGGACTTAAACTAAATAAAAACTAAATAAAAAGTGAGATATGATGACTAAGACTATTACGAAAATAACTGACACTTTAGTCAACGAATAAAAACGAGACTAAACTATTAGGGAGGGACGAATCGTGATCCGATAAGATTTACTTTTTTTGTGGGACAAGTTGGGAAGAAATCCAACCAAAAGTTAGTTACCACCCCCGCCATCGTCAAAGCCGGGTGACGGTAATGCGCCATAAAGCTGTGTGAAGAAGAAGGAGAAGAA